ATTACTTCTGCAGCAGAATTTATTTAAAGAAAGAATTACAAGAAAAAATTTTACTAATTAGAATATGATTATGTAGGTTGTTTGCAATCCTTTAATTTAACTTCTACAATTACGTTGAAGAGGACCGCTACCTATAAATTTGCGATTTCTGTTTGCTTTTCTATTGATTATAATAATCTCTCTTCACAGAGTACGTTCAACTGATTCCGCTTCCCAGTAGAGCTGACGCTGCGAATAATTTTGTTGGAAGTCAGGCAATTGTAAGTGGTTGGGGATTCATTTATGCTGATAGCAACGATATAAGCGAAGTACTGCGATATGTCAATGTTCCCATTGTACAAAACAATGTGTGTAGAATACAGCTTGGTCCTGCCATTACAAACTCAAACATTTGTTCTGGGGGAGATGACATTAAAGGCACTTGTTTTGGAGATTCTGGTGGACCTCTGGTCGTCAATGGGAAATTGGTAATTACACATCACTTTAGAAATATTAAGTCAATATGTGTATGAATAAGAAGAAAATATGTATATTTCTATAAACAAACGCCACGTTTTGTTTAAAACCATTTATGACGGCCTCATGGAAACTGCGACTGTTGATAACACTGTAAACAGCATTGTCAAATGTGGTTTATTCGAGGTGGGTGACGATGGTCGTGATCAAATCACAACAAGTTCTTCCTAACTAGAAAAATTTATGTCTCAATAATAATTCATTCGTATGAATGCTTGTAAATATTCGAAAATGCTTTAAAATATTGGTGGGCTGTGTAGTGGTCACCCCCGCCCACTCAATAATTTCTACATGTTTACCTCTTAAAAATATTAACCGTCACAGTCTGTAGTTTATCTGGAGATCCATCGGCTATTATGCTTAACAAGGCACTTGGTTATCAGTCAGTGTTATCCATTTGTCCATTTATACTTGCCTTTAGGTTACCTATCGAGCCGAAACGAAAGATTTGCTTCATATAATGCTTTATTCTTTGCCACTCTCGTTATACAGATTCCAATTTATTATATTTTTCTACCTGTGAAGAGTGTTCCGTAATTTCAACAAATATTAAATTGCACCCGTTATGCTAAATCAAATGCAGTAAATAGACTCACCAAAGAATGATAATCTGATAAAATCCACCAAAATACCATTGACGTAGGATAGCAATACTGCTATTTTATGATGTATCTGTTACAGGTTGGTGTAGCTTCATTCATAGGTAATCCTGATTGTCAAGCCGGCGATCCAAGCGCCTTCACAAGAGTAACACCATACTTAAGTTGGATTGCAGCAAACAGTGATGCTGTTATTTCTTAAACATTCCTTAAATAACCGATTTGTGCAATGAAGTAAATATTGCAAATAAACGATTATTGTTATTGAATGGACCTTTCATTGTCAATACATAAGTGTATCGTATGTAATACGTATATAAAGGAATAGCTAATTACTATTATACATATTGATACGGACGTGAATTTTATTTAGAAATTTATTCTCCGAATCAACAACGCCGGCCGAGTTGACCGGTTTCTACACCCCTATGGGGCCTCCCGATTACCTGCCTACCACCCCATGCTACAACCGAACTTTACATTTCTCATCTTTTAACTTATATTTTAATTTTACTTATAATTATGTTTTCGTTTTCTTTAATAATCTTTTTTTCACTTATTCGGTTGTAGTTTCCATCTTATGTCCTTACTTGTTTTTTTACTATTTCTTTTACAGGCTTTCTTTCTTTCTGTAACGTTTACTTTTTCTATCTTTCTTAATTTTTATCTCACAACAGCGTTCTTTTTTTTCAACCCTATGTTTTCCCCTCTGCTCAATCACTTCTCGCTATCCATTTTTTATTTTTCCGCCGCGAAAGTAATGTTAAAAACGAATTCGTTTTTTTCATTTCTTTTCGCCCTACTCTTCACACCCCACTATCAACCCCTCTTTTTCCTAACCCTTGCTCGGAGCTGAGGTTTGTATAAATAATCGTGCTCACCTCAGTACCGACAGTCCCAATATCCCACCGACCCACGGCAAGGGAGAAGGGCCCCAAACCACCCGTTTCTTCGTGTTCTCCGTGCCGCGACTCAGTGCCGGTCTCCAGTAACGAGTAAGTGCGTTTTCTCCATTAACTCTGTCTGTCGTTTTTTTTTGTTTTATATATATGCTATTTTGTCCTTCTTGTGTATCTATTTCTTTGTCTTTGTATATATTCCTTGTTCCTTGTATATTCGTTTGTTTTTTTTTATTTTATATCGTGTACATGTATATAGTTTTGGTTTTGTATATATTTTTTTGTCTAGTTATATTTCATTTTGTCTTGTGTGAATATTAACCTGTGCCCGCGTATAAATAAAACTCTATCCAATAACCGAGTGCGTAAAGTTGTATCAATATGTACATTTATAGTTACATACTGTACTTCAGACACCAATTTTGTATAATTATTGTATCCGAATATGCACTATGCAACCATGAATTATGTACCACAGTGTTTTTAAATGGAATTATAATACTTTAACGCAGAGCCGGGCAAACTTTAACTTCGTAGGAGCCGCTGCCTGAGGTTAGTTTGAGTCACTCCACTTCAATGAGTACGAGAGAGTAAGGAGTGATGATTCATGTTGCTTTCTCTTTTTCTTCTCCCTTCCACTCCCATATCAAACCCCTTCATCCTGCAGACGAGCGAAGCCTGTCTCGCAACTTAAATAATACCTACGAAAATTTTCGTTCGCAATATTATTGGGTTTGGCTATGGAAGAGGCGACTCACCTACGAAATGGAAGGGATAAGAAAAGGAAAGAATCATCTCACTCGCACTAGCAGGATTAATGAGGAGCTCCTTGGCTATACCTGAGGAGCACTCGGGAGTCAAAAGAGCCGAGTTTGTCCGGCTCTGCTTTAACGTATGGTGCTACCTGCGAATCGGAAAATAACTAAAAGTATGTTTTGGGGAAGTAGCAATGAAATACAACCTAATTTGTGTTAATTTGTTATTAACTTCAAAACAATCACTAGTATCTGATTGCCCAACAATTCAAAGCCACAAAAAAGTGATTTATAACTAAATATAGCTAACATTTCTACTACTGCTACGTATGATTATCATCAACTTAATTTCGGTTTTAACAAGAATTTTAGTTACGTTTCGTATCAATGCAGATGTATAACATTCAATCACTGGATTTAATATTTGTCATTTTATTATGTATTACCTTTCAGACCACTCACAAAAGTTGTCTTGTTAATGATGCTATAAGGAAGTCTACATCTAATGCATTGTCTACTAGTTCACAAGCTTAGACATGCTGACGCTCGATAAATCCTAAGTCGACTCTATTTTGAGTAAGTTCGGATATTTTTTATGCAGCCAATAGTAGCGCTCAACGAGTAGTCAAACATTCAACTCCAGGACTTCCCGTATTTTCTCGGCCGAGGAATTTGACATTGGAACGTTTTGCTACAGCCTAACACGAATTAATATCATGCTTGGGGAGATGTTGCTCGATACTATAGGGTTGTTCGGAAAGTCATTTCGTTTTTTCCCGACAGAGGATTTAATTGTATTCTTTTGCACCCAACTTCACATTTAAGCCGTATAA